AAATATAAAGTGGTTTTTCCCGCAGTGATTGTAAATTGAATGAGTGAATGAACATTACTATTACCAAGTCTTTTAATTCAAAAGGATTTCTTCGAATATTAAAGAAATCAATTAACCAAATTTATAATTTATAATTTATAAATAGTTCTAACTAACCAAATTAACTTGTGCATAAATTAAAAAAAATCTTGCTCTTTCTTTTAATCATCACTAACTAATTAAAACGATAAAACCGTGAAATTGGAAATTAAAAAAAAAAGATAAAGAAATGATGAACGTTTAATGTTATAGATTTTTCTAACTATTTTTATTTTTCCCCACTTATTATTTTAAAAATTATCACACAACAACCAGCTAACCAATGATTTTCACAACTATCCAATAACAACAACAAATATTCAAACAATAACCCAATGATGATGGAGATGATAGGTAATATCATCAAATGGCAACTAAATAGTAACCAGATGCTTAATCAAATGACTACTTTTCTAATGCATCCAGTAATAATAAACAATAATAGTAATATTAATATTAAACAAATAAAATAATATTATTAATATTTACATTTTTATAAAATAATAGTAAATCATTCAAATTGACAATAAAATAAAAAATATTAATAAAATAAATAAATAAAAATAGTAAAAAGTACAAATTATTTTATCCATGTCTACACTTACAAATTAATTCACTCACTCACTCGCTCACTCGCCTTTATCGCCCATTTTTTTATTCATTCATTCATTCAGTTTTTCATTCATCATATTTAATCTTTCTTCTACCAGTTAAACCAAATAATAAAATGTATATCACTGCCTAATACAATACTTTTTAGGGAGTTTGACATTATTGGATATTGGACATTCTATGTATAACATTTCTCATTTCTATTTTTGTTGAGACAAAAAAATTTTTTATTTATTATTTTATTTTCGAAAAATGCAAAGAACGACTAAACTCACCATCGCACATCAAATCAAAACCAAGTTACACGAAATGTATATACAAATACACAAAAAAAATATTTGATCTAAAATAACACATTTATAAGCGGTTAAATTGGTTTTTGTGCATTTTGTGTATGTATGGTTAGTTATAAAAAAAGATTAGTTAATCGCTCAATTAAGTAGTTGGTTTTATTTATATAATCTATAACATCTATTCATTCATTCTAAAAAAGTACAAATAGCGTGGGCCGTCAAGATAGAACTCGTTTTACAAAAAGCGAAGACGACAAGGAAGGCGACCAACGACCGCAACAAAACAAGGACACAACAATTCTTTTTACAGAATGATACAAAATTTGAACCAATTGAAATTAATTAAAATAAATTACGTGATAGCTTATTTTTTTATTATTTAAAAAATTAATTTCTAATATTTCTAAATTTTTTGTTTTTCAATTTAAAAAAGATCTTTAATTCTAATGATATGATAATTAACAACATAATAGCAACTATGATTAATTGAATAACGCATTGTCAAAATAAATTATCGGCTATTATCGTGTTATTAATTGCTTTTACATAAATTATTGTTTTTCAAGTGAAAAAAATACAATATAATTTGCTGTTCACAGAATTATTATTTATATTATTATTATAATTTATTTATATTGTAATTATGTACATACATATAAATGTATAATATCTGCTAAAATATAAAATTATTATCCATTATTCTAAATCCACACACACATAAATTCCGTCTACCCAATCATGCGAATTCACGTCTCCTCTTTCTTCTCTTTCTCTCTCTCTCGCTCTTTCTCTCTCACACACTCCGCAATAATTTGTTTTCCAATCACACAAAACACAAACTCACTTTCCTAATTAATTCACATTCACACGTTCACTCTGCAATTTGCATATTTACATATTCATTTTTCCACATCTTAAAAATTGTACTTAACTATGGATTATCTTTAGCAAAGAAACAGAAATTAAATTTGATTAGTTGAAGATTTTTTCTTTTTTTCTTTTAGGAAAAAAGAATATTCAGCCTTCCAACAAAAGTAATAATTAATTATTTTATATATATATATAAATATGAAATCCTGCATATTTACTTTTTTTCTACTTTTTTTTTACCACCATCATCATCCAATCATGAAGAATGTAATAAAAATTCATGGGAATATAATATTGTATGTAACATTTTATATTATATATATAATACCAATTACAGTGCCCTCCCTGGTTCCCGGTCCTAACATAGGAGCTTGTCAGTTGATAAATAGTCCTTGTTTACTGCTATCATAATTTTTTATAATAATTATTATTAATATGAGTATACGTTAATGCATATGTTATCGTTTTAAATTAATTTATTATTAATTAATTAATTCCTTGATTAACTGTTAATTATTCATTGACCAACAAATTTAACTAACCAAACTGTCAAATATACTAACCATTTAGCCAACTGAATCAGCGGTTTAATAACCAATCAATTTTTGGATGGCCATCGTCGCAATCTTTGTTGTGATAACATCCCATTATCTGCTTTAGATCTGGGAAAAATACGAAAAATAAAAGCTTTTATAAAGATTTCATTGTTGAAATTTTTTATTTATTAATAAACCAATTGATCATAATCAACAACATAATGATTATGATGTTTATTATTTATTTGATTGTTTATTTTGATCATTTAGACCCTGTTGCTGTTTCTTCAATTTATTTTACTACTTGTGTGTCACTCTCTTACTATTACTTATTTATTTATTTACCTCAACTTTTACTCAAAAGAATAATAAAGAAAAAAAAAGGAATATAATTGCACAAATGTTGTTACTAATGCACGAAATTTCTGAATAAGAAATTCTTATTTAGTTTTTGAGAATTCGTGTGTTTTGGATGTAGAATGCAAGTCAATAGCTTAACATTGTAAAAAAGCTTAAAAGGTAATTTTTGTGTATTATTTGATTAATTTATTTTTATATTATTTATTTATATTTGTTTTATTTATATTTGCGTTTATTTTAATAGTTGTTGACATTATCTTATATGTATTACAATTAAATATTTTCTTTTGATCTTGAATAAATTATTTAAAAAAGAAAATTATTTAGAAAATAAATAAATAAATATAATATAAATAAATAAAAAGAAAATTGACAAACAAAAAAATATGTATTTTTTTATGCGCGTAACACTGCAGCAAATTTTAAGAATGAAATTGAAAAAAATTAAGGACTGACCGATAATAGAAGAAGCAGTTTATTTTTAGTTTAAATTAAGCAGTAGAGTATATATATACTGCTTAAATGTAGATGCTTAATTTTAAAATTATATATTAATTAATTAATTGATTGATCAATTAATTTACTAATTAATAAAATAATCAATATAATAACTGACTGACTAACTATTAATCAATTGCCTTTAAAATAATGTAACTTCCTTGAATAAATAATAATTTTCATCGATTAAAAGATTTTACTTTTTTAATTCTTGTGTTTGTTTATTTGTTTGTTTGTTTGTTTGTAAAATATAAAAAAGATCATGATTTTTTTCTTTCTCTTTCTTTATTCATCTTTTTTATTATTATTACTTAAATATTATTGCAGGTTTTATTATTGATCTCTTTGCGTGCTTACTTTAATTTTACCAATTTTCTCTTATATTTGATCATCCTCTTAATTAATCAACTTCTTTGATCCTCTTCTTTGATCGTCCTTAGTCATTGTCATCTCATCTTCCTTCGTTCACTCGCTACTCACTCGTCCGTCCTTCTAATTTGCCCATCGTTTGATTGCAATAATTAAAAGTAAATTTTCACGTTCAAGAAATCAAAGTAAATCTTTTTATCATCACAACAATAAAAAAATCCAAAAATAATATCAATCACACACACATACATACACATAAATTTATCAGATTCATCTTTATTGGTCAAGTACTAATAATAATTACATTTTAATATATATATATAATTAATAATATTCGAGTTGATTAATAACAATAATCTTTTTTCTATGAATTTTGAGGAAAAATTTTTTTTAAATTTTCCGATTTAAAAGAGTTTTGAATTTTTTTATTTTTTAAAAAAAACAAAAAAAATTCTTTGACGACTACGACAAAAAAAAATCAACAATTTTCGAAATATTTATTATTTTCATATACGTTTTACTTTATATTTTTAATTTTCTTCACTTATCAAACGAGAAAATTATCAATTTTCTTTTTAATCACTTTTTTATTTATTTATTTATTAAATTCTTCTTTCTCCTTCACCTTCCTCCTTTGCTACTATTAATATAAATACATCATTAATTATTATCAACATTCTTTCTTTCTTGCTCGTTTTCTTCTTCCTTTTTTCCCCTTTCGTTTTCTAATTTGCTAATTATTATTATTTATATAAATATTATACGAGTGCGCTTATTAATATTATTAAATATTATTTACTATTTATAATAATAATTTATTTTTTTTTAGGTATTTTAAAATATTTATAATATTTTTATAATATCTAAAAAAAGGTGTAGCACAAACCAGTTCTGTACACATATAAAACAAACATCTCCTCCCCCGTTGAAGAAAATTCACCTCAAAATTTTCCTCCTTAAAAAAAAATAAAAAAAAAAAACCCAAATATTATAAAATTATTTAGTTCTCGTTTTTTTTTAATTTTTTTTTTTTAAAAAAATTTTATCACAAAAATAACTTTTTTTTAAAATTAAATAAAAAAAAAAAAGTCGCGAAAAATATATTAACGATTTTTTTTTTTGTATGTTTTACGATATACATATGCATATATATAAATATATATAAAATTTATAGTATATATATAAATTATAAATTATAACTAAAATTAAAAAAAAAAATTTTTCTTTTTTTTTCTCATTATATAAATTTTTTTTTTTATTAAAAAAATTTACCCTATTATAAAAAAATTATATACAAATACAAATTCTCTTGTTCTTCTTTTAATCATTTTACCTGTTCGCTTTTTCTTCATCGACAACTTTATAATCTACAACTGTAAAAATAATGAGTATAGAAGCAACTTTTTGTGGTTACATAGAAAAAACTCAAGATACTTTGTTAATATTTGAAGCGTGCAGACGTGGTGTATTACCAAGAATATGTAGACGTCTTCAAGAGAAAGAACGTAAGATCGTAAAGTCTGGAAGCGTATTTGTATTTGATGAACGCGAGTCTGGAATAAAAAGGTGGACCGATGGATTAGTATGGAGTCCTTCGCGCATCCTAGGAAATTTCTTAATTTATCGTGAAATGGATAAGCGCTCTCATTCTGGAAAAAAAGATTCATCATCCTCATCATCCTCATCTGTTTCTTCATCAACCATGGAACGTCATCACCATCATCATCAGCGCACTGGTAGCACTAGCAGTAGTGGTAGTGATATGGATTCACAATCTGAAAGAAATAAAGAACGTGCTTTGGTTGGTAGTTTAACTAATTCTTATAAATTTAAAAAAGGTGGTTTAATTAAAAAAACAATGTCAATCATGGTTAATGGAATTAGCCAACATATGATCAGTTATTATACAAAAGAAGATGTTTTGGCTGGCCTATTGAAAACTCCTTCTTCAATACCTGACTTGGCAATTTTAGAAATTGCTCCTGAATTTTTACAAAAACAAAATTTTAGAGTGCCTCCTATGATAGAATCCACCTATGATCAAGGTTAGTAATGATGATGGTAGTGGCAGCAGCAGCAGCAGCAGCAGCAATAGTAATAATATGTATATAAATTTTTTATTATTTATTTATTTATTTTTTTCTTAAAAAATTTTTTTTATAAATGTATAGATATGGACGGAATGTCTACTTTTGGAAAACAAAATGCTAATTCTTCACATCATGGCATGGTTACAAAACATGGAATTGGAGGTACAGTAAGTCCAACAAGACTTTCTAAAATGGATTACACATCAACATCATCATCACGACGTATTAAACTTGAATCGGAAAATTCAAATTCTTCAGGTGTTGTTGACGGTTATAGACCTCAATCATTTTCCACAAGTTCATCTGGCTTTCCCCATTACGCTCACTACGCACCCAACAATTTATTAACGAATCATTCTAATCCTCATGATGTATCACCTCTGATGAGAGGAGGTTATATTACTACAAGACCAACTTCCTATAACGAATTCCCACCACTTTCTACAACGGCTCATCATCATCACCATCATCAACAACAACAACAACAACAACATTTTCCAAATCCTCGCGCACTGACTCATCACAGTACCGACTATAATAATTATTATAATCATAATACACAACCTACCACTAATTGGTCAGATTATCAACAATTTCCCTCAACATCCTCTACATATTCTTCACCAACCTCAACCTCATCACCAACTTCGATAAATCAATTATCACTGATAACAACAACAACACATCATTCCAACGCTAACAATTCTCATAATGAATCATCATCTTCGCCATCAAATAATAACAACATTAATAATAATGAAATTATTTATGGTAGTACCACTCCAACAGCTACCACAACCTCACCAACTACACTAACTCCAAATAATTCTAATAATACTAATGGCAATGGTAATGGTTCAAATTCAATTCATCAAATTAATACACTTAGTCAAGTTCCTTTGTATCCATATCATGATTTACATTCGTCTTTACCTGAATTATACACTCCCACAAATTCACCCACTAATGCTGCTACTGCATCATCATCGTCGTCGTCATCGTCGTCATCATCATCATCAACTACTAATTCAATATCTCCATTTCAGCCATCATATCACCAGCAACAGCATAATCATCATCAACAACATCATAATCATGAAAATCATCAATCGCCATCTCCTACACTCCCATCAATCTCTTCGCCTATAAGTACAACAAGTACAAATTATAGCACTACACATAATAATAATAACAATTATGATTCAAATAATACTGCACCTACCACGCCACCAATGAGTTCTCCAAGTAGTAGTACCTCTACTGCAATTGTTAGTCCAACTAGTGGTAGTAGTGTGAGTCCTTATACTTCAAGCTATCCATCATACTATGCACCTTTGATCAAAACTGACGTCTATCCAGCCGTGTCTATGTCTCCTAATAATGAATTATATGATAATTTTATGTTCAAGCAAGTAGATAATTGGAATTAATCGATCGATCGATTATTAAAAGAAATTTTTTTAACATACATTACATTATATATATATATAATATATATATATAATAAATTTTTTTTAATTATGGGGGTTTTTTTTTTATTTCTTGTTTTTTTTTATATATATATAAATATTTGGTAATTAAATGAGTGGGAAAAAAGGATTTATTGGTAATTAATGTTTGTATATATGTATATATATATTAGTATATGTATATATATATATATATATATAATTAATAATATATAGTTTTTTAATTTTTTTAAGTTTTTAAGTAATAATATAATTGATAACAATAAATAAACCAAAAAAAAAAATTTAATTGTAATAATAATAAAATGCAAGTTTCTTTTTTTTTTTTAATATTTGTATTATTAATGAGAGCGATCTTTATAATTTTTTTTTATAATGTGCCTACCTACCACTTTTTAAATCGTTTTTTATATATTAAACAAAAAATATTAAGCCCTTTCTTTTTTTCTCGCTTCCGCCATCGTATTTGAAAAAAGGTTTTGTCTGCCCAGTTCGCAATTTGGTATACGCACGTGTCAAGCCCTTAAAAGTTTTTATATACAAAAATTTTGTAACAAACAGCGGGGGTCAATGAATGTGGGTGGACGAACGAACGTGCGTGCGTGCGTGCGTACGTACGTTATGTATTAAACAAAATATTGTTTATTTTTTTATTTACATTTTAAGCACGTGAATCAGATTATCAAGAAATTATTCGTGTTTGATAATCTATTTTTGTAACACAATTTCCATGTGGTTTTGAATTTATCTTTTCGCCACCACACCACCACCATTCCATTCACAAAATAAGTTATTATTACAAAAAAAATCATAAAAAAAAAAATTATATATATATTTTACAAAAAAAGAATAAAAAGAATAAAATCATATACATATAAATTGAATACATACAAAATTAATTTACATACGAAAAAATAAAAATAAAAAATTACAAATGAAAAAAATAAAAATGAGAATTTAATTGTGTCTATTATTATATATACATATATATTGTATGTGTGCGTGTATAATATGTATATATTTATGTAAATTTATATATATATTTCGTTTGCCAATTTTTGCTCGCCCTTTTGCTGTTTTTTTTTTTTTTTAAAAACATATCATAATAAGTGTGTGTATGTTTGTGTTGTAATTTATGTATGTATTTACATAGAGAATATGTAATAAAAATTTCGATTAATTAATTTTCTTATCCAAATTTATTCCATAATAGAATTCATATTTATTAATATTAAATTTAAAAAAAAAATAGTTATCGCAATTATGAAAAACAAACATTTTTCCATCATCATCGTCATCATCATCGTCATCATTTTGTTGTTTTTGTCGATTAAATTGTGATGATTACAATATATTATTTTTATTATTATTATTACTATTACTATTATTATTATTATAATGATTATTATTGAGAGAATGATTTAAATTGTTGCTACAATATTTATCTATCATGTTATAAAGTCCTTGCATTGTAAAAGGCTTTGACAGGATATCCGTTACACCATTACGTATATAATTATCATGTAAATAATTTAAATAATCATTGTTCTCATTACCATTATCGTTCCTTGAATTATCATTATTCTTGCTAATAATACCATTACGACGTCCACCACCAACATCATCACCACTGTTGTTATTATTATTATTATTATTATTATTTAATATTAACATCCCTATTATTGGCACATTTTGATTGAAAGCTCTTATTTGCCTTATTGTGTTTACATCATCAAAATTTTGCATTAAAGTATCCATAAAAACTAAATCGTAATAGTTAATATTTATTTTATTAATCGCTGATAATCCATCTTCGGCGACATCACAGCTACATCCATACAATGTCAAAAAATTTATGGAGTCATCACATAATTTGATGTCATTACTTACAAATAAAATTTTCGGTTGAATTGTCCAACTTGGCGTTACATGATTTTGTTGTTGTTGTTGTTGTTGTTGTTGACAATAAGGTTGATGATGATGACTACCACCACCGCTACTATTATTATGATTATTATGATTATTATGATGAAGAAAAAGTTGTTGATGTAAACAAGATATTTGAGTTGGCGTATTTGGCGTAAGATTATCTGAATTATGGGATTGATGACGATTATGACAATATAGACGACGATGTGAATTGTTATTATTATTATTATTATTATTATTATTATTATTATTATGTTGTTGTTGTTGTTGTTGTTGTTGTTGTTGTTGTTGTTGAAATTCTACAGTTTCAGGAGTGATTGGCGAGTTGAGTTGTTGCGAAGTTGATAATGTTTCGGGATGTAAATTATAATTAACATTAATAGGAATTGAAGGCTTGATATTATTTATATTAGTAGTAGTATTAGTATTGTTATTAGTATAACTTAAATATGGTGATAGGTGTAGTTGTTGATGATGTAACTCTATTGATTCAGTTATGATCGTTGGTAATAGTGGTCTTGTAGTGTTAGTAGTGGGTAATTGTTCTGAAAATTGATTATGAGAATGAGATGTGCTTTCCGTGGAATTAATTAATTGATTATTATTATTATGATGATTGTGATTATTATTATGATTGTGATTATTATTATTAGTATCAGTGTTTGTGAAAATTGTATTTGATGTTATTGTAGGATTCGGATTTCTAATTAAATTGTTCCCTAATAAATATAACGTATAAATATATTAAATATATTGTAAATAAATAGATTATATTATTATTATTATTATATTATCAATTAATTATTTTAAAATAACTACACTTAAACTTACAAATATATGTTACCTTGTCCTTCTAGTTGCTGTTGTTGTTGCTGCTGCTGTTGTTGAGATAAAAACTGAAATAAATTTTGTAATAAAAGATCCTGGGCAGCAAGATTTTTCTTTGAATTAATGATTTCCTGTAAGATAAAATCACAGTTTCTTGATAAAATATTCATATTAATTGATAAATCAGTGTGTATTTGAGTCAAATTATCTATTCGAGTATTTATATCTTCTGATAACGAATTATCTTTGTTGTTGTCGCTGTTTCTGTTATTTTCTAAGATATATGGTGAAAATGAAGATGAAGATGATTGAGGTTGTTGTCGTCGTTGTCGAGTTGTTTTTGATGAAGATGTTGATAATAGTAAATCACCATTATTATTAATTTTAACAGTATTAGCATTGACAAGATTATTATTATTGGAATCTGTAGTAAAATTTACATTGTCATCTATTGGTAAAATCAGCGACGAGGAAGAAGTTAATCTTTGATTACTTCCTCGAGAAGTTGATTGTTGTGATGATGCTGTCGTTGTTGACGACGACGACGAATTTGTTGACGTTGTTGATGTTGTTGACGTTGTTGACGTTGTTGATAATAATGATGTTGTCGAAGAGAAAGGTCTATTTCGTGGATTAGGGATTTTTCGCTAAATATTGTAGTATATATATATATGTATATGAATGATTAATAAGTTTTAAAAAATATAATGTAATAATAACAATAATAAAAACCTTTATTTCTTCCAATAAATCTTTACGATTATGTTGAAAATTAGGATGTTGAAACTCCCATGCCTAGATTAAAAGAAAATTTATTATTGTTATTATTATTATTATTATTATTTATATATATTTTTTTTAAGCTTCTATTTATTCTTCACCTGATCGTTGTAAAGTCTTGATTCTTCATCATTGGTTTTTATTTTATGAAAATCATATTTATTAAGTTGACGCACAAAGCTAGCCATTTTATTATGTTTAAAATGTTGCGGTAAAATTGATTTTGAGAATTCCTTTGGTTCATGAACAACAAAAGTATCTCCTGTTATACCCCATGATACAATATGTGCATAAGATCTATCTTCGAGCATTCTATATGTATAAGAAAAATCGGAAAATAAAAAGTGATCATCAAAAAATTAATCGTTTTCATAAATAAAAAACAGCAGCAAGAAAAAAAAGCAAGTGAAACATGAAGTGTAATAAACGACAACAATAACAATAACAAACAACAATTTTCAATTTCAAATACGCGTTTTTTTTTTCAAGGCTAAAATAAAAATAAAAATATGCGACGAACCTGTAAAGTCTTTTTATAAAATCTGCAATATTTGCAATATTCGCGGGAGCAAAAGACATAATTTTTTTCTTTAGATATAATATGTATATATGTTGCGTATATATATAAATTAATTGCGTACGTGCGTATCTTTATGTTTATGCCTGTATTCTTTTATGTATGCACGTATGCGTTTCCTTTGCTTCTTTATTAGTGTAGTGTATAATATTTCAAATGTCGATGATAGACGGACGGTTTGAATTTCTTCGCTCTATTTTTATGAATGAAGTTATTCTATAAAAATTTAGGAAATAAAAAAAGAATATATATATATATAATATATAAAAGAAGAATGTTATCATGAGATATGGTAAAATTTAAATCTTTAAATTTAAAATAAAAGAAATAAAGAAATGAAAAACCATTTCAAAATATTTAAAAATTAAAAAAAAATTTGAAATTAAAAGAAAAAGAAAATAAATGAACTACTAAATAGAAATAATTTATATAATAATAATTATATATTATAATAAATATATATAAATAAATAAATAAAACTTGAATATTTGTTTATTTTTTGATGTGAAAAAAAATCTTTTTTTAAAAAAAAAAATTAAAAATAATCAATTATTAAAAAAACGTGGTATTTATAGTAGTTTTTTAAAAAAAAAAGTATAAATTAAAAGTGATTATAAATAAATATGTGGTAAGTAAAGTATTAAAGTAGTAGGATGATGTTGATGATGTTGATGATGTTGATGTTTGAGATATATTTGAAAATATGCGTGCGAGTCGGTCGGCGAGTGAACGAGATTGTATATGTAATGTTATTGTTGATAACAGTGATCTACTTTACAGAATTCTAATAACCGCTATTACTATTATTATTGCTACTAGAAACAAACTAGTTACGACGAGTTATTTGTTGATTGGTTATTTTTGTAATTGTTGTGCCGGCGGCTGATAATATAATTACGGGCGCGAGTGCAAAAAATTTAAAAATTTTTGAATCCTAATAGGAAAAACACACATATGAATTTGTAAAATAACCAGTTTTTATAGTTAAATTATTATTAATTGATCAATATATTTAAAATAAGCTATATATATATATATATGTATGTATATATATATATATATATTATGCCGTATAGTTTAATTGATATAAATAAATAAGCAGTATATTATGTCATTTAATTAATTATTAATTTAAAATATAATTTTTACCAAGTGTGTTAATTATTGAAATAATAAACTCTAGAAAGAGAAATTAATTTTTCTCTGCTTTATATTGTAAGTGAGTGTAATTTGTGTGTTTAATTTGAATCCAAGTGATTGGTTTGTAATTTACGTGATTTTTAATACGAAAAATTGTTATTTACTCTTCTTTTAATTCGGAGAAATTTAAAATTTTAATTATTTAATGTAAAGCAAGTAGTTAATATGTGTGTGTGTGTGTGTGTGTGTGTATGTGTGTGTTATTAAGCAAGTTTTAATATTGTTTAATTTGTTTACAACAATGTGTTTATCATACGTGACAAAAAAAAAAGGATTTTCAATTAAACGAACAACAACAATATGTTCATAAATTCAAAAAGTAAAAGCATACGCAGTTGATTTTTAATTTTTTTATTAGTAATATTGTTTCTCGATTAGTTTGATCAGGCTTTTATTGTGTATGATCAATCTTTTGAGATTAAGTTTTTAAGATTTTTGAGATTAAATTGAATGATTATTATACGTTATATATATATATATATATATATATATATATATATATATATGCTAATATATTGGGATAAAGGAATATCTTTAATTAAATTAGGTTAGATTTATTATTTATAGATTTATTAATAATGTTGTTGTTGTGTATTTCCAAATATTCTTCTATTACTATTGTCAATTAACTTTTGAAACTTGAAACAAAAGAAACAATAAATAATTTCACTAAAAAAAGATTATTCTATATCTACAATCCGAATTTTGGCTTTTCTTAATTAGGAAGAAGCAATCGGTTTGTCTAAAAACAAATCCGTAAAAAAATTTAAGTTTGTTTATTTATTCTTTTTTTTATTTTTTTTATTTAAAAAATATTTTAAAAATATATTTTTGTGCGAATATTACTACTTTCTTCCAATTTGGAAAAAGAAAATCCTTCGAAATCCAAATTAATAATAAATATATAAAATAATATAAATTACCAAAACTAACATGTGTACTTCACACACACATATAAATCTAAATATTTTTATATTTATCAAATTATCGGTCAATCTAGATGTGAATGTAACGGCGGCGGCGGCAGTGGCGGCAGTGGTGGTGGTGGTGCGGTTGCCAAGCCTATACATCATATATATATATATATATACACATACACACACATGCTAATATATCAATATGATTCACGTTATCCAATCAATAAAGAAATGTATGAATATGTGTGTAATATATAATAACTAGTCATTTATTGATTATTTATTTATTTTAAGGTAAGTAACAACTTGATTATATTTTTTTTACCATTTTTGAATTTATGCATTTTTGCAAGACAATACTTACTGTTTCATCGACAACATCGATCATTCTCTGAAATAAAACAAATAGAAAAATAAAATTTAAAACTCCTGCATAAATCTATTATAATATGATTTTTAAATCAATAATAAATTATAATAATAGCATTAATAATATTTTGGTTTTTTTCCGCGTACTCTACAATTTTTTTTCTTCGTTTCTACTTGTTCACTTCCTATTGTGAAATAATAACATTATCTTCATCACAACAGCAATAACAACGACGACGACAACAACGACAAAAACAACAACGACGATAAATCAGTAAAGAAAATCACAATATAATATTTGTTTTTGTTGTTATTTCTAATTTATTATATGCATTTGATTTGATTATATAATATATTTTTTTATTCGTTTAATTACATTCCTCGTCATCATAATTTATTAATGTTTGTCTTTTTTTAAAAGAGACAAAATTAAAACACACGCACTAGGGGTAATGTAAACGTTTTAACAAATAAATTTGTAACGAGAACGTCAAGATTTTGTTTATTCATTAAGTCATAGGTGGAACGGTGATGTCTTCCCGAAATTGGGAAAAGCATGGATTAATTATAAAAAAGAGAAATTTTTTATGAAGATCGTTATTACTGTATTATATATATAGTAATAATTAATTTATGTACATGAGGATAGTGATTATCCTGAATTGGTCATCAGTTAACATATGTGGTACGACAAATTAATCAAATAAATTAAAAAATGTTTCAGTGGCCGTAGCAATGATTCATGTTTGTTTTATATTTATATTTATATATATTTATATATATATATATATAAAATTAAAGATTTTCGGCGGCGTATTTTCCGAATTTGAAATAATAATAGCGTTTCGGATATTTCACTATTTGATCGAATATATTTAAAGAAAACATTCATGCACTAGTAGAGTACCAATTGATTTTTGTTCTTCTTTTTTTATTATTGTTTATTTTTAAAAAATAAAAATAATTTAAAATTCATGTAATTATGCATGTCGAAATATAGAGAGATATTTAAAAAATAATTTACCATTTTAGGAAACTAATTAAATCACGCTCTTGCATTAATTTGGTTAAATAAAGCGAAAAAAAATTCACGTGATAAGTTATGTGTATCGACATGACAAACGTTTTATGTGTTATCCTTAATTGAACTTGTGCATTTTGATTCCTCATTTTAAAATAGAATGAATCCAAAGAACAAAATGTGTGTTTTTTTTTTAATTTATCAATAATAATGCTCATTATAAGAAAACTTAAATCATATACTACGCAATTCTGCATGGATTCTTCGTGAATTCTGTATAAATCCTGTCTATATGAGTGGATCCCACACCACTTTACCATATTTATTACAAATATTTATATTTATCACTAATAAACAAAGCTGAAACTAAACCGTAATCCATTTACTAATTAATCGACACTGTAACCTTATAATTCACGCATGTGCACTCAAATAGATATAAATAATCATAAATAACCTATCAATCAATCAATCAATCAATCAATCAATCAGCCAATCAATCAACCAATCAATTGACCTTCCATCTGTCTTTATCTTCTGCGAAATGTTATTTTTTATCACCAAAATATTTATATTAAGGATTAATCGATCCTGTGAAACCTCGTAATTCGCGCACGCTCAAATAAATCACAAATCATAAATAACCTACCAATTAATCAATCAATCATCCTTCCGCTTGTTTTCTGCTTCTGTTTCATCTTTGAGTATGTTATCTTTTATTACCAAAATATTTATATTTAAAGAATAACAATTCATAATTAGCTTATTAATTAATTGACCCTGTAACCTTTATAATTCACACACGCACACTCAAATTGATACAAGTAAATAAATCACAAAATCATAAATTACCTACCAATCAATCAATAAATCATCTTTTCGCCTGTCTTCTGCTTCTATTTCATCTTGAAAATGTTATTTTTTATTACCAAAATATTTATATTTAAGGAGCAACTAATCCATAGTTCGTTTCGTTTACTAATTAATTGACACTGCAACCTTATAATTCATATAATTCGCGTGCACACATTATAACACACCAATCAACAAATCAATCAACCAATCAATCAACAAATCAATCAACAAATCAATCAACCAGTCAATCAACCAACCAATCAATCAATTGTCTATCCACCTGTCTTCTTCCTCCTCTTCTTCTTGGAAACTTTATTTTTATATTTACGTGGTGTAATTTGAGAATTTTGTGTTATTTGTTGTAGAAATAAATATAAATCAACAACAACAACAACAACAACAACAACAACAACAACAACAACAACAACAACAACAACAACAACAGTTAAAATTCAATCAATATCCTGAGAATTCTTCAAGAAATCCAAAACAAACCAAAATAATTATTTTTCGCCAATCAATCAATCAATCAATCCCTATCTATCAACCTAGATATCTATCTCCAATTTGATTGATTAATCAATATTCAATTAATTAACCGTGTTTTAAAATTGCGTGAAATTTTCCATATTCGTGCGCGAAAATTCATTTTGGAGTAGTAGTAGTACAATTTTATTGTCAGAATGTTACACGTAATATATTTTTAAAGTAGTTTTTCAAATAGGAATTGGATGTATTGGAACCACACTGTAAAGTTTTAACAGCATGATTTAAAATAAGTATTAAAGTCTTCAGATTAAACATGGGACCCGACTTGAACATGTTTTTGGGCTAAACTTGGGCGGTTTAGTTTTAACATCAATATTAATATTAACAACTGCGATTCATGTTGTAACTTGAAACAAGCCGAATTATTTGACCCGTAATATTTTCCAAGAAATAATTTTTTAAATATAACGTGGGGTGTTTGAAATAAAAATAGACAGATAGATATATTATCTTTCAAATAAAAAAAGATTGAATTTTTAATTTGTTAACTGCTGTGATATTAAATTAATTGGAAATTTCATCATAATACCGTATTACTTTGTGTAAATGAATTTGGGTTTTTTTTAATATATACACTCAATGGACAAAAGTTTGCATCCAAAATTTCTTTTGAATTTATTTCAAAACCACATTAATTAAAAGATTGTAATTTTTATATATCATTCAAAAGCCCTCTTCTTGATAATACGTTCGTGGTATCAAATCTTGAAGTTTGTAATGAAAAAAAAAAATATAAAAAAAAAATATAAAAAATAGATAAAAAAAGCTTATTCTTTATATTTCAAAAAAATATTATTTAATATCTAATTTTCTGGCCATTGTTTGCAATGCAATTTTCAATTCTTTGGGAAATACTGTCAATTAAATTTAAGTTCACCGTTCTTTCACATTTTTCAAAATTGGTTTGAAAACAAAAAAAAATATCAACATTTTCACTATTTTTACATTGTTTTTTATTTTTATTTTTTATCTTTATAAAACTTCAAAGTTTGATGTCACGAACGTACTATCAAGGACAAGAGCTTTCGAATAATATAAAGATTACAATCTTTTAATTAGTATGGTTGTTGAAAAAAATTCAAAAGAAATTTTGGATGCAAACATTATATGTTCTCATCTTTTAAGTTTGCATTTTTTGGTTTTACTAGTTGGTGAGATATCAAGTTTTAAAAATTTATCAAAAAAAAACCCCATTTTCTATCATTCATTTATTATCGTGCTATTGTTATAATACGATCATCAATCACATGATCAAAATAACAAATCACGTGGGAAAAGTGTAGATTTCAAAAACTGCGTACACTTTAAAGGAATTTTCAATGTGTTGATAATAATATATATTGAAGTTTCGTGAATAATACATTACATCATCATAAAAATATGGATGTGCCATTGTACTCGATACGTTAACGTTCAACTCCAAACATCTTTGCCTTTATTTTCAACATCAAGTCACCAACCGTTCTTGAATTTGTATTGGGATTATTGAATTTTAACAGTAAGTTTTTTTTTTTAATAAAAAAAAAATAAACTAAACAAAATTTTTTTCTTAAAAATGAAATAATACATTTTTAACATTTGTCGAATATAATATAATTCAGCTTTGAAATCTCAAGAACGTTGTAGCCCTTTAAGATTTGTTTGAAGTTTCCGATTCTGCTTTTTTTTTTTTTTTATAATTCATTAAAGAACTCTTTATCTTTTTGAGTTAGGTTCAAATTAGTAATTTAATTTTAATGTCTTTAAAAAATTTTTCAAAGCAATTCTAATTGTCATGAACATCATTGAAAATCCAAGAATTCAAACAAAAGTTGAATTTTTGATATTATTTTTGGAATTTCTTAAAAGATTTTTGGATTTTTAAAATTTTAAAAAGATGTTCAACTTACCACATTCAAGAACGTGATGTTGGAAATAATGTCAAAGATGTTTGGGGTTTTGGGGTTGAGTTGACCACAGTGGAGCGCCATATATATATATTTATGAAGACGATTTAATTAGAAGGAAGGGCATTTGAATTTTTATGCACAGCAATTTTATTATAATAATAATGCCTTATTATAGTATCTATGTCACAGTGGGTCTCGACTTGGCGGTCCTCGATTTTATTAAAAGTCTTGATTTAATGGTTGAGGGTCCAGAACGGTCTAATAATAAAATTCAATAACGAATTCCTTGGACCAAAATTTTCCATTATATCGAGAGATTCACTGGTGCTAGCATGCCTGCTGATGAGAGGATAGTGGCACAAATTACGTAACACTAAATAAATAATTCTCTATGAAACTTCCAGTTTTCTTTTCTTCTATTCTTCTTTCCTTCCTTCACTCTCTTCCATTCATTCTTCTTTTGCTCTTATACTCGAATTCGGATAATTGCTTAGAATGATTACTTAATCGTTACAAATTTTTTTTAAGATGAAATATAGCTAAATTAAGTATGATGTAAATTCCCTCTTTTTTAATTCTTTGCCTACTACTGTTACATACATACATACACCCACCTAATTTATTTGTCTAATTATCTAAATTAGTTTATTATTGTTGAGAGGGATATAATGTGCACTTTTATGCATGTAAGTGTTCACAGGACCTTTGAAAAAATACTATTTATTTATATATATATATATGGAACTTTGGAGATTCCACAAACGTACAACAATATTAATATAATATGATGGATGAACACCAAAAATCAAATAACCCTACCCTAAAATTCCATCAAAGATCGTCTGATTTTTTTTAGGTTTGGTAAATTAATATTTTGAGTTGAATGCACACACATACACATACATACACACACATCTTTCCCCACACAAACATTAAATTGGGGAGGGTGCATTTGTAAATTTAATTTAATGTAAAAAAAATTTTTTTTTGAATTTAATATTGAATTCGGGAAATGGGAACAGGATCATGATCACGATAACAACAATAATAATGATGGTGATATTGGTTAGTGTTAGAAAATCCCCGATCCTTACATAAATTTTATATGTTTATTGATCGAATTTTTAAAAGTTAATTATTGATGAATTTTATAAAATTTGACACCATCTTTCTTCATTTTCACCATCAATACCATCCTCGCCATCCCCCCTTCCTTCCCCTCTCTTTCTCGTATAATTTTTTGTCGTAATATCGATAATAATAATTAAAATCAGTGAGTGTGTGTGAACATTTCCGTTTTTTTGATATATCTGGGGCTATCTATGGATTCGGTGATCTCCATTACAAAAAAAAAAAAATAAAATATACACTACATACATTTATTTATTTATTGCATAACTATTATATTGTATAACTATTATATTGCATATTAATTATTACATATTAATTATTATTATTACACTTGTTTTAATTTACTAAATCTAGAGTATTATTTATTTGTAAGATCAACTTTTAAGATTAGAGTTTTAATAGTTAAATAAATGAATGGAACAATAATGGAACAATAATGGAATAACAACGAAATGAGTGGTATAAAATAGAGGGAAATATATGGATGATAATATAAATAAATATACGGAAATTTTTTTATTCAATAAAGAAAATTTAAAGTTTGAATCATTTCATAGTTCATAATTGACGTTTATTGTTACTATTATATTATTGTATGATAAAAAGGAAGAATCATTTCTATTGTAAAATTTCAGATTTTAAATTGTATTGTTTAATTAATTGTTATTTCCAAATAATACAAATTATTTTTATTATTATCACAAATTTAAATACAATTAGCTATTATTGAATGTAGTTAGTGTACTTTACTCTTGCTGTTGGAGAAAACTCGTAACAAAACTCGTAATTGTCAAAATAATAATTACCCCATTCATAAAATAAATAAACTAGATTAAAAATGGCTGTCAAGCAAAAAAAGTAATGAGTAAATATTTATATATATATAATAATGGGTTATTTATGTATGTAACTGTCAAAATATTCCAGGGGTTAAAATTTTACCCTTATACCTACCTTCATAACGTGACCAACGTCAGCATGTGACCTTGATCCCCACTCATTCATCCATCCATTTTTATGCATTCTAAGCATTCTAAGCATATCATTATAATCAGCAATTGATCAATAAAAAAAAACCAAGGTAACAGCAAATACTTATTGTTCATCAACTTATCTCGTCATAATCTTTATTTTTCGTTTACATACATATAAATATATAAATATATATATACATATATAATCAACAGTTATTTCAAATGCTTCAAAATCCTTGTGTATTTGTGTGGGTTTGGAGCTATGAATGTATCGTCCTCTGGAGCATTTCCTGTGTAGATAGATACTAAGGTGATGGATGAGCTTGACTGACTGAATCAAGCAGTCCGCCTAAATAAGCAATGCCTTTTAGTTTAACATCGATATCAATGGTTTTAGGTGTTCTTCCATTAATTAATTCCACAGTGCGATTTGGTGCTATCCTTACTGTTGGGGAATACTTCCCCTTGACCTTTTGTCTGATTGCAAAATAGGCAAGGGCCCGGTTTTTTCTAAAATGTTGACTGATTTTCACACAACCGGGAAAATAGCCTCTTGCTATTTGATTAATTAACTGATTAGTTAATAGTATTAAAAAAAAAGCCACGCTACATTATAATTAAAGAAAAACGACACGGAAATTTAAGCTTAAGAACCATCAGGACAATCTTTAATCTTGACTTGAGCGTTCATGTAAAATGACCATAATTTTCTTTGTAATACTCCACACAAATATATAGCTGCCTTCAGATGAATTTTTATGATTTTAATCCAGCATATAAAAAATGTTGCCTGGGTATGATATGATATTAGTAACTAACTTTCGTAAGAAAGAAACTAAGACAATAAAAGTAAAGGCTCATTTACCAAATTTTCTAATATCGAAAAAAATTTTTTTTTTGTTAATTTCAACCGGTTTTTCTGTGAACTGTCAACTGACCTTAGGTTCATGAGAATTTTTGTGACATATGTACGATCTACAATATGAATTAATAATGGTTACTAAAATTTATCACCCTAAATTTTTTTTGACATCAATATAATAAAATAATACAATACAATTCTTTTTCCCTTGGAATAATGTACAAAAAACAAACAAAAAAATTTTTGAGAATTTACTAAAAAAAGAAAAATAAATATTAAATACCCCAGGAAATTATGAATTGCCCCCAGAAGATAATTGAAACCGAATTGTAGTAAATAAAAAGTGTGGTTACTGCCAATTTCCGGTTACCATTCTTTCTTTATAACTATAATTAGTCATAAATAATGATGATAAAGGATGGTGATGGCAATGACAATTATTAATGATGGCTCATTTATCTTAATGATGATGTTGATTCTGATGATGATGATAATTTAATTAATTAATTGGTTAGTAGGGAGGAGGGAGAGAGAATAAGTTTTATAATTAGAATGTGTGTAACTACCAAAATTTGAACAATCAAAAATCCCCCAGTTTGAAAATATAATGCAAAATTAAAAATTATTATCTGAAAATTTTGATTCTAACTAAACTTCAGCCAAAATAAATTATTATAGTGCTAAATAAAATGGCGCCATCAATTAACTTATAATAAATAATAATATTGATCACTTACAGACATTGTCAATTTTCGAAACAAATAAATAAACTTACAATCAAAAAACATCATTTTTATCCCAACTTTTTTTTTGAAAAAATAAGGCGTACAAATTTTATTCGATATTCGATATGAAAAGCCGTGTAACGTCCCCTAATTTTTAGTTCTTCAAACTGCATCTGCCAATCAAACCCTTTCTCCTGCGCGTGGCTTGTCGACTAAATATTTCTACCCCCTTATTTCTTCTTTGAATTCTTCATTTTATAACTACATATAAATATAATATAAATATATAAAGTTGATGATTTGATCTTTTTCTTTAAAAAATTTTATCTCTTTTTTTTAAATTTTTTGATTATTTTTTTATTTATTTATTTATTTTAAATATATATATACACACACTATAATAATTAATAATATATTGTTATTTTATTTATTTTGAATCTTTTTTCATAATAAACTAAATTTGGAGAGACACAGACCTCTACAAAAATATTATATATATATATACTGTATATATTTAATCTTATATATATATATATAACTATCTATCTTTTTTTCTTGAAAAAAATTTTTTAAGCTACTTTTTTTGCTCAAAAAAAAAATCAACCATCCCTTTTTTTACTTTTTTTAAATTATTTTTTTGTAAATTTTTTTACTATTGTTATTTTTTTTTAAAAAATGTTAACAACCGAGGCTCCAGAACAATTACAGTTCCTACAGTTGCAGCAACAGCAACAACAAACTCATCCAGCACCTCAAATGTTTGATGCTTTTCATCAGTCACCTCACGGTGAATTTAAGCCAACTTTCTACAATCCATTTGAGGTAAAGCATAGACGTCGTACCTCTCGTCAACAATTAAAAGTGCTCGAGAAAGCTTTTAATGAAAATCCAAAACCCCATGCAGCTGTTCGTCAAGCTCTAGCTCAAAAATTAAGTATGACTCCACGTGGCGTACAAGTTTGGTTTCAAAACAGGCGTGCAAAAGCCAAGAAACAAAAGTCTGATGGTATCAGTGGTGATGGTGAAGGTGATGAGGATGATGCTGATGAAAAAGATAGCAATGATGCATTATCTACTATTTCTAGTCCAAATGCTGATGATTCCTTGGAAAATTATTATTGTGGAACCGCTAATTCAACAACTGTTTCTCCAATTACTCCCAACTCTCCTACTACTCCTAGCACCATCCCTTCTGACACTTCCAGTACTCCTAGCTCTCCTGCTAATTTTGAAATTAACAATTCTACTGATAATAATAACAACAACAATAATAGCAACAATGATCATGCTGTCAATCACGCAAATTTGACAAATCTTGCAACTTTAGCCACCGATCAATCAATCAACCAACCAAGTAGTAATAATAATAACAATAATGTTCAAATCTTCGCCAATTTCCCTCAATCAGTCAATGATCAATCTACAAAGAAATCTCGCCCTAAGCCAAATATTGATCCTTTGAAAACTAGTTGGCAAACTCAAGAAGAATATGATTTGATGGTTCAACGTCGCCAATTCGAACAATTTGGTCCAAAATATAATACAAATAATCATAATAATGACTGGATGCATTCAAATCTTTCATCCGCTACAACCGTTGGTTCTGATTACATTTACGACCATATTATTCCACTTTCTACTCCTGCATCGGCAGTCACTATCTCTGATTGTTTCACTGAATATACTTATAGTCCTGTTAGTTCTGTGATTAGTGATAATAAGGATGGTAATGGTAGCATCGCATCGTCAAGTGATTCGTTGAATCCTACAGCTTATGCACGCCGCAATTCGTGTCCTGAATTGATGGCCTCTATTCTGAATTTGAAACTTGGTGGACCTCCTGACGAAAAACGATCTTTATCTACAATCATTGAAGATGAAGCCTTGTCCAATGATCCTTCTATGCATCAATTCTTAGCTGTTCCTACTCAGGTAAACATAATTATATGATATGGTGTGCGTGGAGTGAAGTTTGTTTAATTATATATCTCTAATTATTAATTATTCTTTTTATATGTTAATATATTAGTTCAAAAGACGTTTCTCCGAACCAATTAATAGGTATAATTTTAGTAGCAGTTTTTCTGGTTTTAATACAGAAGTCAATTCTGATTTAATAACTGAAATATCTAATCTTAATAATAATACCGTTACTCTTAATGCTAATAATGATAGTCTAACAACTAATACTACTGACACCACAAACGCTGCCAATATAAACAACACACCCGCCACCACAATACCACAAAATCACGCATCATTTCCATTCAACTTACACACAATCTTAACAACCAATCAACAAAACGATCATCATCCATTACTTCGTAATAACAATGTCTGGCCTTCTGCTACCAGCACTGCTAATCATCATCATCATAATTTAAAAGAACGTCAAATGTGGAATTTTCAATTAGATTTCAAACAACAAACAAAATTGCCAATTAACTCCACCATGGGTTTAAAGAATGCCAATGCTACATCTATTAACGTCACTCATTGGAATACTTTACCATCATCAAACGTTGACAACTCCACAATCAATTCAAATATGACTATTCCTATTACTGATGACATGAGTTTTATGCATCATTACTATGAAACTTCAAATGATCAAGTCGTAGGTTAATAATAATATCAATAATCATAATAACAATAACTATAGCAATATAACATTGTTGTCATTTTTTATATTTATAAGCTATTTAAGCTAACAACAAACAAACTAACAAACTTTTAATACTTACATACATATTTATTTATTTATTTATGTAATATAAGAGAAAAGATTAAGCCAGTAATTTTTTTTTTTAATTAATTTTTAAGAAATAACAAAAAAATTCAGAAAAAAATATTTATTAAAAAAATCAAAAAAAACATTATTATTTAATTGATTAATTAATTAATTTAATTAGATTTTTTTTTTAGAACTTTTGTTTTTTATGACTAGTAGTGTGTGTAAATATAGTATCAGTCAGTGATGATGGTCATCGCCACTGTTACTAGCCTTTTTGTAATTATGTTAAATATATATATATATATAGTTTTTAAAGAATTAAAGAAAGAATTATTTTTTTCTTTAATTCGATTTTTTTTTGTACAGTTTTTTAATTTTAATTTTATATTTTCTTTTAATTTTTTTTTTAAATTAATTATTAATTATTTAATTAATTATTTATTATTATTATTATTTTTTTTTTTTAAAAAAAGAACTCCCTTCTCACTTTTAATAATATGAATTTTTTTTAATTTAATTTAAGATGTCATGAATTGTTGCACGTTTACATATTTATATATATAATATTCAACAACGTCATCATCAAATCAACAACAACATCAACAACATCAACAGCAACACAGTTAATTAATTTAATTTAATTTAATTGTTCAATCGCCATCATCATAATAATTATAAACATAATCATAATCATCATTTATAATACATAACGCGTGTTTAAACGGTGATGATTTATGATGATTTGATATTAAGGATGGTGGCGATGATGATGGAGGAAGTTGTATGAACAATACATGTCACGTGTTATCACGAATAATCACGTGACAAACAATTATTATTTATAATAATATGATAACTTTAGCGGTTTTGAAAAAAACCGTTTATATTTATAATATGAAAATTTTTTTTATAAATATGTATAGTTTTTTTTTGTAAATAATTTTTTATGAATCTTTTTTTTATGATTTTAATTAATTAATTCCTTTTTTTTTTTGATTAATTGATTAAAAATTGAATGTAAATAAATTTTAATAATAAATAATTAATATTTTAAAATCTTTAACTCTTGCGCAGTTTTATATTTAAAATGTATCACATATAACACATTTTTTGTCCGCCGCTTTTTCAGTTGTCCATATAATTACACAGTAATTTTAAGGAATAAAAGCGGAAATTGATCATTAAAATAGTAGTATGTGGAACAACATCTTTAATTCCTTTTTTCTTTAATATATAAAAAAAAAAAAAGAAAAAAAAAGTAATCAATTTTAATTTTTAAAAAATATATAAATTTTAAAATAGGATGGTAAAATTTCCGAGTACTTCACCTTTGTGGTTTTATCTAATATCGCTTTCCTTATTTCTTTTCACTGTATTATTATATTCTTCGTACTTATTAGAAGATGAAGATGAAGAAGACGGAGATCTCTACCAACAGTATATAGATGATACAATAATCTTACCAGAAACATTTAATGAGAGCTATGAAGGCGAATCGTTAGATTTTTTGGTGGTTGGTGATTGGGGTTCAGCTGGTAAAAAAGATAAAAATAGTAAAAACACTACACAAATCAATGTTGCAAAGTCAATGGAGCATTTTGCAACTATGCACGACAGTAAATTTATTGTGAACGTAGGTGGTTCGTACAAAAGGTTTTGATACATACATATACACTCACTCATACGCACGTATAAGAGATATTAATCAATAAACAAATAATTTTTTTAATAGATAATTTTTACAAAAGGTTTAAAAATGATTATCAAGGAATAAATAGTGTAGATGATCCTAAATGGGAAGATATTTGGCTAAATGTATATAATGGACCTAAATTATCAAAGCTTACTTGGTACAGTGTTGCTGGAAACCATGATTGGTAATTATCATTCTTTCTATTAGGTTATTTCTATATTAAATTTTTTTAAGTTATATAATCTAAATATAAAATATAAAATATAAATGCAAATTAACGAACCAAAAATAGGTATTCAAATATAACAGCTCAGGTAGATTATAGTTTAAACAAAAATTCCAGATTTTTTCTTCCGTCATTATTTTATGTGCGTCGATCAGTATTTGGTAAAGAACCTTTTAAAAAGACCGAAACAGCATGGATTCACATAGATACAAATGTTTTTGCATATGACGTGAATGAAATTGTTGAAGAAAAAATGCAAGGCTTGAAAACCAATTTGCTTGCTTTTGGGTGGCATAAAAAAAAAATTATTGAAAAAAAATTTAAATGGATTGAAGATCGATTAATCGAAAATCAAGACGCAAAATGGATCTTTGTTGTTGGTAAAAAAATTAACTTATCTGCTTATTTTTTTTTTTTTGAAAAATTTTCCATTAAAAAAAATTTTTTTTTTTAATAAAAGGGCATCATTCACTTATCGGATCATGTTCATCGCAAAAAAATTTGCCAAGACTATTAAAATTACTTGAACATTATAGAGTAAGTGCATATTTTTCAGGGCATAACCACGTACTACAATACAAATCACCTGACGAAACGTCGCCCTTTGCAAAATTTGTTTCTGGTGCTGGATCAAAATTTGGTTATGGGTGCGACGAGAGTGATTGGATGGCGATGAGAGGAACTGTCGGATTTTTACACGTTAAAGTTACAAATAATGATTTACAATTTGAATTTATAGATTCTACTAATGCTACTAGAATTAAAAAAAAAAATATTGGTAAAATCGCGTATTCTGGCAAATTAGTGCCTTTTTAAAGAAAATAATAATTAAATTATTTTATGATAATAAAAAGTAGATTTTAATTATGTAAATATTATGCTAGTATTAGTATTAACAATGGCAATAGATAGACTTTTAATATATTTAATTTAATTAATTTAGATAGATACAGTTTCCTTTTACGTATATACATGTTCCAAAAATTTTTATCTTGGTCGCGTGACTAATTGATTTTAATTTTAAAATCTTATAATAAAATTACACGTGTATCATGCAAGTTATATTTAAAATTCATAATTGAAATTTTTTATATCTCACACTTCTTATGTGAAAAGAAAACAATTGTCACAACTTTTCATATTTGTATTATATAAATCATACTCGTTTTTACAATCCTAAAGACACAAAATGTATAGGATCTACAGCCAATAAGCTTCACGTGACTCAGAAATTAAAAAAATCTATGTTCATTAAAACAGATTCAGGAACTCTTCTGTGAGAACAGTATTTTCTGACAGCAAAAATAGTAGCTTTACCATGAGGGTTCATTCTATAGGCACAAGCCTATAACATTATCGTCTTGCAAATTTACGAATTTTACGGAGAGAAATATCATTGAGGACTAATGTGTACAGTTTGTCCCACAGTTATTTATCGAATTTTGGCAGCATCCCAAAAACTTTCAATGTGGTTTAGCTCACAGTGGTATTTAGGAAAGAAAATAATTTACGTGCTGCATTCTCGACAATCTCTTGTAAAAAGTTGTTCCATAAAATCTAGTTCTAATGATATAATTTTAAATGCACAGCAAGCATTTAACCCGATCAGTGATCTCATGATTTCTGCAACTTCCACACATTCTCAGAAGACTAGGTTTCAATAAGCCTCTTTTTCTAAAACTGTTTAGTTCTCCATTTCAAAAACTATAGGATGACATGCATGCACCATCTCCTTTTCTTCCATTACGCATCTTTGGCTGTCCTCAACCAGAGCTTAGATTCATACTTGAAACAACCAATGCATCTACGGTACAAAAAGCATGGCTGTAATTTGATCAAATTCCAAAACACCTGTACAATCTGGATGCATTTTTTTCAAAGATTAAAATTGCTTTCTTTCGTAACTAAATACAAAAAAGATAAGTATTAACTAATAAATCATATAAATGAAAGAAATACAATTAATTATAAACTAAAATAAAAGCCTGTTCAGCAAATTTATTGTTGTTCCAATAATCATCTTTATTCTTTCGAGGTCTCACAACAACATATGATTCCTTTCAGATTCAGGTCGATTATTATTAATTACTGTTTGCTGTTGATCTATGCACAATCTACCTATTGTTTCACATATAAATTCACTCGAATGAAGACTAATTTCCTGAGTTTTGGGTCTTCAAGGCTGTTCATCTTCTGGAGCCAAAACTTTTTCAAGTCATCATTGGAAAAAAAAAGTAGGCTCGCCGTGTACAACAAAAATATGAAATTTTCAAAGAAGGCCATTTTTCTTCATCCATATCTTCTCTTTTAAATACTGGCATGTACATTTACAGTGCCATTTTTTATAGAAATTCTTTAGAGTATTCTACCATATCTTGCTCATGACAATATCTTTGCTATGAGCTCTATATTCCCAGAAAATTGCCCTCAACCATCGCCTAGCTGTTACTTCATTGATTTATTATTTCCTTCGTATCCAACAAAAGGAAATATTTCCTTAGAAATAAGATTAATAAGTCAAAAATCTTAAGTTTAAATTTTTATGTTAAATACTAATTATTTTCTGTTAGAAACAAAAGACCCCCACCCGACACACATTGTTTAGCCAAGATCTAATTAATTTAGCTATCCAAGCAAGGATCACGATCAATCGATTTTGAAATTAGTTAATTGCATAAATTTTTGAGTGACCAGATGAAGATATTGAGCAACATATTGTAATCTAATGTCTTTTATCTTTTTTTTGTTCCAAGTCCAATTCAAGATGTTCCAGAGAAAAATTAGATTTATTCTCTTCAACTTTCATTTTCACTATCATCTGGATGTAAATGGATCTGTTGTAATTCATTTTGATTGGTGTCTCCAATATTTACTTACCTCGAAAAAGGTTGTTATTTTAGCTGTTCCTTTAGCAGCTGCATAGTATATATCAGAGGTCTATCTTTAGGTTGAAATTATCACCATTACTGCTAATGCTAATTAATTCTAAATCTGTAGCTAAAGATGAATCCCCCGGTCATCATCAGATTCAATTATTGTCATAGACTAAATCTTAAATTTTTAAACCAGGCTCATTCACATCTCCTAATTCATTCATTCAATTCAATTCCATAAAATATCATCATCACGTCTATTATTAAACAAATAAGTAATATCAATTGAAACATATAATGATGATGATAATTATTATTATTTCAATAGGTTCACCTGTGATGGTATCGATCGATAGTTTCTTTTGATTTTTTAGCTTCACAAGCTTTTATAGCAAAAGTTTGATTTCTTTTTTTTTCTATTTAGGCATTTTTTTTTGTAAGAAATAAAAATTAACAAACAGTTTGTGAAAAAATTTGCTTTTGGGGCAGCACTTGATAAAAATCAATAGTGAAATGCAAATCTTACTTTTTTTCTCAAAATCAATTTTTAGGTCATTGAAAAGCCTCCGCGTACGAGAAAACTTTTTGTTATTTATAAAAATATGCCAAGTAAAAGAAAAAAATATGAAATTTGAGATTTTTTTGTTCTTGTTAAGAATGATTGGATTCAAATAAATCAAAATCAAAAGCTGTTTGCGTTTGCTGTAGGAGGAGGTCTGGCTAGCCATTGCACAAATAATATCTGGATGAATAATAAATAAATCAAGATTTTATTGCAATCACTTTGCCAATTGTGAAATCATAATTAAGCCAACTCATGCTGATGAAAAATTTTGTACCTGAAGACTCAAATGATAAAAATTTTTTCTTCCAGCCGAGTAAATTAATTTTTTGATTTTACGACCTCGTACTAGGTCATTGGTTGTCATTTGCCAACACTGCAATAGATAAAAAACTATGTGTATATATATATATATATAATAAATATATATACTACTACCACCATCAATAGTAGTGGTAGTAGTAGTAAAATTTTAAAATTTTTTAAGTTTTATTATTAAAAATTTTTTTGCATATTTTAAAAAAATAAAAAAATTAACTATTAAAAATATAATACTTTTGTGTTTTTAGGAAAAAAATTAAATAAAATTATTACTACTGATGTAGAGAGATATATACATATTATATATATATATATATATATAATATAATAAATATATACTTTTAGTGGGAGGGGAATTTAAAAAAAAAAAAGAAAATAAATAAAAGTGTCAGAGTCTTCCGAAGATCGATCGACAAAGAAAACGTAAAAAATAATATCACCATCGTCTAAATTAAATTAATTAATGGGTTTTTTTTTAAAATCCGAAAAATTCTATTAATATTAATGAAAAAAAAAGGAAAAAAAGTAAATCTTAAAAATCTATATAAAATTCTATGAAAATTTTTTTTTAATAAAAAAAAAATTGTCCATGATTTTTTTTTGTTTTTTGTTTTTAAAAACTCTATAAATAATGTGATTTGTGATGTATATATTATATTATATTATATATTTATATATATACATGAAAATGAGATTAATTGTATAATAAATAATAGACATCTAAAATGTATGTTTTCTTAAAATCGAAAAATATTTTCATAAAATTAAAAAATTAAAATTAAAATTATATAAATATGCTTATTAAAATATATATATATATATATATATGGAGTTCCGGAACTCTTTCATATTAAAAATTATTCTATTACTATCTTAAAAAAAAAAAAATTTTTTTTCATAATTTTTTAAATTTTTTTTTGAAAAAAGTAAAAATGAAATTTATACAAGGAAAAAAAAGAAAAAAAAAAGGAAAATTTTTTTATGGTAGTGCCCATACATCTTGAGGATGAGAATGGTTGATATGATAGATCAAACCACCTTTGCTTCCGTATGACTTATTACATCCGGCGACACGACATGGGAATGGTTTTGAACGGCCATTATCATTCTATAATGGTAATGATGTCGATAAGTATCAAGATTTTTTTTAAAAATATACGTATTATATATATAAATCAAATCATTTAAAAATTTACCTGTTCTACGTGACCGTGTTCATTATGATATTTTAATCCATTGGCATTTTTATACACCTTTGGGCAACCAAGGATGGTGCATTTGTAAGGGTATTTGTCTTCCGATTGGGTCGAAAGATCTTTATTTACAATCATACCCGGAACCGGTAATACGCCACCAACCATGTTTGTTGAAACTTCATTTATCTATTTAAATAAATTTATTTATTTATAGATATGTAAGTAATTTATTATTATTGCAATTGTTATTATATTAATACTATCTATGTTTTATTAATATGAAATAGTTAAATTTACCCTATTAAGACGTCTTTTATTATTATATCTATCTTCATCTAAAAATGAGGATGAACGTTTCTTTGATGATTTTGTTGGGTCAACACAAATATCAGCCAAGGTAATTGCTAATAAAATAAAAATATAAAATTATTATTATTATTATTATTATTATTATTATTATTATTATTATTATTAAATATTAAAATAATGATTTTTTAATATTTACAAGTTTTTGGCTGGATTCTTGGATATCTTGAAGCATAGTCAACAGTTCCATTGTTGTTGGTGCAAACAGATGGAACATTATAAAAAAGAGAATAGTTGACAGGGTATTGTGTGTTTGGAATATTATATGTTGCGGCTTTTTTTTTTTTAAAAAGAAATATAAATTTAAAATTAATATTATTTAATAATTATATAAATTTTTTTTGATTTATTTTATTAACATTTACCTGTTTGATTGTTGTTGACTAGTGAGGCGTTTGAAGAAGTTGATGATGATGCAATGGCGGTGCTAGTGGTTGTGTTGATAGAATTAGAGTATGTAGTGGGAGAGGAAACGAGCACATTATTAGGAATATATGTAGCTGCTATTTTATCAAAAAAAAAATTTTTTTTTATTTAAAATTTAATATTAAAACTTAATATTTTTTAATAATTAATTTTGTTATTAACATTTACCTGTTTGATTGATTACAGTATCACCATTATTATTTACCATCTTGACTAGTGAAGAAGTTGCGGCAGCTGATGATGTCGGTGAGTATGTTGCAGAAATTGTATCCGGTGAATAAGTTGTGGAAGTTGATGAAATACTACTATTAGATACTGTTGATCCGGTATTGGATGATGTGCTACTAGATGTTGATGTATTAGTAGAAGAAGATGAAGATGATGAAGATAATGAAACGGAGGTGATGGTAGTGTGTTGATTATTAATGTCATTGCTAGCAGGGAAACTACCAAAGAATAGAGGATCATCTTCTAAGCTTCCTGAAATAGATGAATTATCTGATGATGGTGATGAAGCGGTGGAATATTGATTATTATTGTCATCGTTATAAGGAAAAGACCCAAATATGAGAGGATCATTATCCAAGTTTCCTGAAATAGATGAGCGATCTGACAAGACTTGGTTTCCCAGGATGACAGATGCATCATTTGGATCTTTTAAACCATAGGTAAAACTATTGTTGTAATCATAATTACAATAGTTGCTGTTGGACAATGCTATCTGATTTGTCAAATAAAATTCATTATTGAACGTGGCATCTGCTTCATTCATCAAAATCTTTTTTCCATTGGTCAAGTATGCATGTCCATAAACACCGTTATTTCTGTTATTAGGAATTGAGATAGGAATTCCATGACCTATATATAATATAGGCACTTGTGTTTATTATTTATTCATATACACTGATAACATTTCCTTAATAAATAATAATAATATTGATCTATCATATGTACCTTGAGAGTAAGTAATGCTAGCATTAAATGAAAGCATTCCGTAGTTCTGGTCATTAATGAAACCAGGATGGGCTGTATCAGTATGTTCCAAGAAATCAGGAATGTTTTGGATTATTTCCCCGCAACAGACAAAAGTGTTAGGTGGACCCATATTGTCAGACTAGGAAGAGATAATAAAAAGTAAGATAAAATAATTATTAGCACACAAGATTTCTTCATTTAACTAGCATGTTAACTAATAATATCCACGTATATAAAATGAGAATATCTCAACAAACCTGATCGACTACGTGGTTGGTGCTATATAATAAAGAATAAGGATAGATCAATTGTAAATATATTGATTGATTTTGAATAATTATAATAAATTATATTATATAATAATATATAATACTAATAAATAAATAAATAAATAGATAAATAATTGCTATTTCTATTTGTTATTGTTATGAAATGAAAAGAATATTTCCAAATTCAAATGAATGAGGAAAGGACTGATCCAAGCAAAGAATAAAAAAGCAAGGAGAATGAGTTGATCCAACGAAAATAATACAAATAGTAAAATATGAAAAATCAAAGATATAATAAAAAAAGTAGATAAAATTCGATAGTTTATACAAAGTTTATTATGAAAACAAAAAGAATTTGAAAATAAGGTGCCGGAAAAACAGCAATATGAATGATTTACATACTTTAATGATGCAGACGACAATGGAGAAGAAGTGACAGAGGAGGAAGTGCTAACATTGCCGTTATTGTCGTTACTATTGATATTGTCGTTGGTGTTGTTACTAATAAGAAGTGACATTTCTTCCGTTGCGTGAGGCATTATTTATTCTAATAATGTTGAATTGACAAAAATATGACAAATATGTTCGTTGATTTGACAGTCAGTATATATATAAAATAAATATAAGTTAGTATATGTAATTTCATTTATCAACCAACATATTAGATAAATATATATTAGAGATATTTATTTTGTTTACCAAAATAATAATAATAAAAACTAATTTTTATGAATTTTTTATGTTTGTCGATTTCTTGAAAGAAATTTTAAAATAATGCAAATCACTTGATCTTTTCTTACGTTAATTCGTCACAGGTTTGATCTGAACCTCCGCGCTATTTGTTGTTATAGAATTGTAATTTTATATTACAACTAATAAAGAAAATAAACAATCAAATATTTGATCGTTAAAAGAAGAAAAATTTCCACGAAGAAAAATTTAGAAATTGACGATTTAGAATAAAACGACGTTTAAAAAAAATGATATTATGATGGATGTGAAAGAGTGAGAGAGAGTGATATATATGTGTATGTTTTTTTGTAAGGTTAAAAAAAAAATATTAGAAAATAAACTTGTTTGTTATAAATTAAATTTTCTTTTTTAAAGGAAGTAAAATAGACAATAAATCGTTACGAAATTTTTTATATATAGTTAAACATATAAATAATTAAAACATAAAAAAGAAATTGAAGTCGTTAAAAAAGAATAGAATTAAATTTAAAATAATATAATCAAAATAAAAAAAATAAATTCAAAAGTGACAATTTTGATTTTTGGAATTTTCAAGTGTGTCATATAATATATTTATATATTTAATATTTATATAACTTTTATATATGATGATAAAAAAATTTTTTTTTTTTAAAAAATTTTTCAAAAGATAAAAAAAAAAAACCAGTAATTTTAAAGTCTTTCTATATTAGAAAATTATTTTTTTTTTTGGCTGAAATGAATTTATAATGATATATATACAATGTGTGTATATATATACAGATTTTAAATATGTAAATATAATAATAATTAAATTTATGTCTATACAGATATATATATATATATATATATATATATATATAATTAAACCAGTAGCTAACACAAAATCCAAATTGACTTTGACATATCATATATAAAATATTATTATATAATACACTTTATACAGAATTTATTGTATATATATAGTATCATATTAGGTTAACGTCTAAATGTCATCATCGTACTCATAATATAACAAAACTATTGAGATAATTGATCATTATTTATTTATTTATCGAAGATAATTACTAAAAGTATCGATACATAATATAATTTACCGTTTAATTTTTTTTTAATTAAATAAATTATACTTTTTTATTAAAATTACCTTTCTGCGTAATTGATTAGATTAAAACTCCATCATCCCATGTTTTTTTTTTGTTTTAAAAAAAGTTGAATTCGGTAAACGTGGGCATTTAAAAAAAGTACTCGAAAGCGGCGGCATCTTTTATTATTATTTTTATTATAATAATTTATTATTATTATTATTGTTATTACTATTTATTGCTATTGTTATTACTATTATTTATTATATATTATACAATATAATCAAGGATCACACACTGAATCTGCGAGAAACAATATAGTGTTACATGAAAAATACGATATTAAGTTCTCTCTAATTATGGTCTTCCCCGCTTTATGCAAGTTGTACATTTAAACGACACACGATATTTTTTACCATTCATAAAACAGTTTTTAATATTTTATTTTTTGATTTATTAATTTAATTAAATTATTAGCATGTCGTATTATCAACTATTGGATGTTAAAATCCGAAATTCTTATTATAGATTGTAGTTTTTTTTTATATAATAATACAATTATTGTTTCATTTATTGTTGTTGATTTATTATTTGTTTATATTTTGTTTATTATTTGCAGTTTGCTATTTGCTGTTTATTTTTTATTATTAACAAACATTTATACTGCGCCATACAAATCAACTTCTAATTACTGTTAGTTTGTTAGTTTTTAAATGAATGCTTAACACAATATTGAAACTCATAGATATTTTAAAGGTTATTGTCTCAATTAGCTAGCTAGTTGGTTTTAGTTGGAATTTTTGTGTCAGTTAATGTTTGAAAATGTATATTGTCGGAACAAACAAACATATCCTCCGCACCATTAATTACCATTGAAAGAGAATAAATTTGACATATCCTTCCATTCTCATTGCATTAAAAAAAAAGGAGTTGTTGTGTTACATAGTTGTTCCACTACATTCCAAGAAATTGGATAATAAGAAAATAATAATAATAATTATAATAATTATAATAATTATAATAATAATAATAATGATCATTATTAATTATTGAATTAGGAAATAAGATATTTGCTTCTTCTTCCTCTTCAAATATATTTTTATGCTGATGAAAAAAAAAAATAAATCTTGGGGGAAAGCATATGAAAAAAGCCACTTTTGTTTGAAAATTATCTTTTGGAAATATATTTTTTTATGTCTCTTGGTGATCATTAAAAATTTTTTTTATGTTATTATTTTTAATGAAATAAAAAAAAAACTGAAACCAAAAATATATATATATAATTTTTTTTTTTTTTTTATCATAGAACACTAATTATGTATACTAAACGTTAGATAGATATTAAAATTAAAATATATATTTTTGAATTTTCAAAAATGTTCAAGAAGGTTTGAATTGTGGGTGAATTAATATTGAATGAATGAATGAATTAATAATGTGAATGAAAAGAATGAACGAATTAGTGTGAGCGAGTAGAATGAATGAACATTATTATGACAAGATAAGTCTAACCAAATAATGCTTTAGAAATAATACGCCATAGATTTGATTTTAAATATCCTAAAAAAAAATGTTGTACATTTTCTAAATCTTGACTATCCCTGGTAAAATAATCCCTGGCAAATAAAAAAAACTTCAGACTTTTAAAACTTAATAATAATATTAATAATTAAATAATATGTTAACAGACCCTGATAATCCAACTATTATATAAGAGAACAATGAAAAAATTAATGATTTACAGATTTCCAAATTGTTTTTTGTTTTGTAAATAACGATTAATATTAACAATATTAATATTATTTATTTATAAATAGTAAAAATAGAGAGAGAGAGAAATTGTTGTTATTTGATTTTGAAATTTATCAATCATCAATCAGCCAATCAAATAAAAATATGTATAATGATATAAATGTCAAATTACTTTGTGTCAAACTTGCTAAAAAAAGTTTTTTATGAAATTACTAAATGATTGATATGCATCATGATGAAATAAATATCTAATCTTTTTGATTGTTGTCAAGTTGGTTAAAAACATTTAGCAAGTTATAAACTAAAGCCTTTCTTTACTCGATCAATCAATCAATATGATGTGTATGGTTACATATAATAAATATAACAATTTGAATCAAAGATAATGATTATGATTATCCGTTATTATTATTATTATTTACATTTGTGTGTTACCAACCACCACCACTACCATATTATGATTTTGACATCATAATATTATTAACAACAATCACATTCATTGCTACCATTATTATTTATTTACTATTAGGCAACAAAACAACAAAAACATTTGAATTTCCCCGAGTTCAATTAATTAATTAATTATTTACAATAACAATCATCACCACCCCCAACCAACCATCAACAAACAAAATTCAAATTCATAAGCCTTATTATTATTGATTCGGTTATAGACCGCAATATTATTTATTATAATTAAAAAAAAACCTTCAATTGTAATCTAGCAAACAATTAATTATTAACCAGAAAGCCGCCAAAAATAAAAAATTCTAGTAATGATAATGTAAAAATAGAAATAAAAACCACAATTTCCACTATTAGTTACAAATGTTTTTGGCGTACATACATTCCAAATCATCCAATGAGACATTGTTACATTGTGTTTTTGATAATGTTGATACATCTGATATCACCATTTCTTTTTTCTGCTATAAGCAACTAGGTTTTGTGTCAAAAATTGTCTGTGCTGTTAAGTATTCTGAAAATAATGCAATATTCCATATCAGTGAATTTTGTCATATGAAAATAAAAAAAAAACTATTTAAAAAATAATTATAAATACTTATTGTTTTTGCCATATAAATCATTTCTGTTGTGGATTTAAAGGTAAAATCCGATTTTGCCTTTTTTTTTTTTATTAAATGTATTTACTATATATAAATGCATGCATATAATTTACCAAGTATTGATCGTCGTTATCTACATATTCGTATATTATTTGATTATATGTATGTATGTGTTTTTTTTTTTTAATCACATAATTGTTGAAATAAACATTTCTGCATGATGTTTTGGAATACTTCGCCCATGGCTGAATAATAATAATTACAAATAAAGATGAAGGAGGAGAAGAAGAAGAAGAAAAAGAAGAAGAAGAAGAAGCGGCGGAAGACAAATAATAATGTATTTAGAAAGAATTGGATTTCTTCCTTCCTTTATTTAATTATTAAATTAATTATTAAATTAAAATTAATTATCACAAAAGGTTTTACACCATTGTTCTAATTTCTATTATTATATTATATATTGCTTTTGTTACACTACAAACATAAACAACATAATTCTTGTGTATGTTTAGATAATCTTTGATTGATCTTTTTTTGTTCAAATAAAGATAATAAATATGATTGGAAGTAAATTTATATTTATATTTATTTATTATGTAAACTTACTAATTTAATTACCTAACAAATAATATTATATATAGTATGATAAGTCAAATATTTTGACATAATAATTCTTTGAATATTTTAAAAATATTTGTGGGGGAAAAAGACCTCACATGGGATTCCTTTTAAATATTTTTTATCACGTGATAACCGTCAATTGATATTTTCCGATTTTTTAAATCATCATGATAAATAACAATAAAAGATTATAAACAAACAAACAAAATAATCTATTGTTGTTTTGTTATTCTAAATATATATCGTTTATTCTCTAATTGCAGGAAATTAATTTTATGAATGAAAAAGTAAAAAGAATTGTTGTACAATTTGTTTCTAATGGAAAAAAAATTTTTTTGCTAAAAAAAAAAATATGACAAGTTCCATTATTAATAACATGTGTGAGATCAATGTATCAGTATATATATATAGCAGGTATTAGTATATGACATGCGTGTATATATATATATATGTTACGTGTACACACACACATATATATATAATTGCGCGTATTAGTATGGGGTTTTTTTGAATTCGCGCTAAAATATTATTGTTAATACATTAACACACATATATATGCACATATCTTAATTGTTTGAAAAATTTTTTTATTACTCACATAAAAATAAGCATCGATTATAAAAAAATTTCCATTAACATCGATGCATCAGCAAGCATTAAAAAAAAATTTTGAACTCGTGTAACCCAATCAAAAAATTTCAATTTTAAACAATCAAAAAAATTTTTTTACTGCGCGAAATCATTTGACACGTTATTCTCGGACGATCTTTAAATTTCCATTTTGGATGACGCGAATTTACTCTGAGGTGTCTTTTATAGTAATTTATCACGTGTAATCATTTTAAATTATGCATCCAAGGATTATTATATATGTATATATATGCAATAAAAAATGGGCTGGCATCATCTATTATTTCTATCATTGCAAAAAAAAATTTTTTTTAATTTAATTTTATAGCGATAAAATAATTTTTACAGAGAATGGAAAGAGAGAGAGAGAGAGAGAGACATGGAAAATAATGAATAAAAAGAATGTAAATATAATTGTAATGATGAATGATTATTATGATTATTATTATTATTATTATTATTATTGTGATTGTTTTTTGAAAAAAAAAAAATGAATAGAGAAAATAATGATGATGAATTTTTACCAGAAAACCAACCATATAATATATTTTTTTTAATGAAACCTCCAAACCTTAGAAAAATTAAAATTATACGTTTTTGCGTACAACCTTAAAAACTTCTAATTCCTCTATAGTAGCTTCTAAGTTCCAACCATTTGCATGAGCTAATAATTGATTACCATTTGTAAAATCAATGTATAATAATTGTCCATCTCCCAAAATTCTATCACCGTGAAAATGATTTTCTACAGGTAACATCCAAGGTAATAATAATTTATCATCTTGCCATAAATATCCAAATATAAAACCTTTACCCCCACCCCCAACATTTTCATCTTCCCGATTTGACCAACTAACAGATTTAAATCCACCAAATACAACTTCATCATCGTTAATATTTTTTGTTCTAATGACTGTTAATGTTGGTCCTTGATCGTGACAATATTGTTTCCATATGCTATTATTAGTGTCGGTTTCTTCTTTCAATTCATTTCCATTAGTCCTAAATATTAAATGAAAATTAAATGGCAACATTGAATATTTCTCATATAATTTGATCGATTCTTCATAATCTCGATTATATTTTAATTTATCATCATCAAGATTATCTATCCAATAAGATATCAATGACGTTTCTTCTTTTTCTTTAATTATTAATGAATTTAATCTTAATGGTAATATATTATTATTGTTAATATTACCAACATTAATATTTTCATTATTAGAAATTGATTTTTTTGTATGGTATTGAATTACTTGTTCGTATAATTCCGGTGAAAATATTTTTATTAAAGGTCCAACTCTGCTAACGAAATCTTCAGGTTGCATATGAAAAAATCTAATCTTATTTAGAAACTGAATTATTGTTGATTTTAATGATGTAACATTATCAGATGTCCATAATTTAAAATCATCAAAATGCGATAAATTGGGTGTGTTATTTATTCCCCACATAATAACTCCCGCAAATATATCTATCTCTTCTAATCCTAATATATCTCTATCTAATATTTTTATTAAATAATGTTTTGGTATAAATAAAAATTCTTTTGAACTAAAAAATGTCTTTGGATTTCTTAATATTGCATTATTGCATGCTTGTAATAAATTTTTACATCTAGATATTTGTAACGTTATAAACAATACCTCACTCGCTTGAGTCTTATTCCAACTTTTTCCCTCAATTATCAAATTCTGTTCTAAATAATCAACAAACGAGTCCATCATTAACACATCAGCTGCTCTTAATAATTCTAATTTCTCTGTCACGCTTAAATTATCTAGATCTATCACTATCCCACCGTAAATGTAATAAAGTATATATTCAAATAATGTTAATGGTATATTTAATCCAATCAAATCAATATGATAATATCCATCAAATTTTTCTTTACGCCATGAATTCGATAGAGCCGCTTTAAAATATTCCGATCTAGTTCTTAGGATTATTGAATGAGCTTTGAACGACTCAAATTTGTTGTTTTCTTCTCCAACATGTAATATTACATCAAATGTTTCATCTTGATTTAACAAATTTAAAAAATCGTTTGATAACTGTTGATAAGATCTTGTTATTTCAAATAATTTTGCCATTAAAATTTTAATAAATCTGTTAATAATAATAGATAATAATAATAATAATAATAATAATAATAATAGTAAATATAATAATAATAAAATTGTTATTTTAGTAATGTTATTATTATATACTTATAAAGAGTTGAAGGTTGAAGGAAAGGATGGAGTGTTAATAATAACACACTAACGAATGGTATAGTTGATAAAATAATCAAAAAGGAAAGTTGTTATTTATTTTCTTAAGAAAAAATAGGAAAAATATTTTTTATTAATTCAAATGGTAAAAATGTTATAAATAGTAGTAATGTTAATTAACATCTCTCTTTGTTCTTATTATTATTATTTATTTGTTATTTTTTTGAAAAAAGAAAAAAAGTACAAGTGAATGACGAGATTTTTTATTTCTGAGGTCGTACAATATTTGATACAATCGTATGACAAACAAAAATGTACAATGAAACAAATATAAATATAAAAGTTACACGTTATCAGGAATACTCTTACCACACCTACCTCGGTTACACGAATCCCAACCCCAGAACCCCCATGATTGGTAGAAAATAAGGAAATCTTATCTTAAAAACAACCTTGTCGTGTAACCGAGGTAGGTGTGGTAAAGAGTTTTCGCCACAAGCATTCAAATCAAGTCACATGGTAAAAGTAGTTTATTTATTAGCCAATAAACATGCTTAAATTTTTAATTATAATTATAATTTAACAGTAAGATACAACGGAATTAAATTGGTGCAACGGAAATTGCCTATCTAGGGGAAAAAACTGTATATTTCAAGAATGATCATCAATAAATAAAAAAATCAAAAATATTAAAATTTCTACAAAAAAGGATTTTGCTGTTTCACAAAAGTAACTCAGTATTCAATGAATCAAATCAATATTTCAATGAATCAATATTTCAATGAATCAATATTTCAATGAATCAATATTTCAATGAATCAATATTTCAATGAATCAATATTCAATGAATCAATATTCAATGAATCAATATTCAATGAATCAATGATGCTGAATGCTAATTGAGAATCTATTTTTTTAAAACATAATTTTTGGGGAAGCGTAAGGTTAAAATTTCAAGGTGTTTGTTATTGAAATGCTTTTTGAATGTCTGGATTTTGATTCATGAAAATGATCGTTGCCTTTAAAAAAGATCAAAGGTGAATTCGAATTCAACCATGTAAAACTATTGCTATTACCCATGTCAATGCTGTGGATTAGATGATCTGACTTCTGTTGTTGTGTTCAATCAAACCAAGTAAAACTGGGCTTGAAATTGTACTTTGAAAATCTGGTTTTTCCCAATTGTTCCTCAATTTATTAGTAATAATAAATACTATTTTTACTATTATTCTTTCGCGCACACACTGATGCTAACGCTGATCCATTTGTTGTCTAAATGAAGTTTTTCAAAACTAATTACTTACCATGTTTAATGAAAGTAACAATGTTAACGTTAATTGTATGTAAATGCATGTTGATAATGTTATCGTTGGCTCGTGTATGCTCGCTCCAACATATGTTCACATAACAAATCGTCTATTTTTCTTTAAAAGTTTTTTTTTTCCATATCCAGTTTAAAGCAAATTGTGGCTTATCGTTATTTTTACATATTAATATATAAAGAGGTGAGCCCATGTAATAATTTATAATATTTCATTCACCAAAAATTTATTTCCTACCACTAACATCTTATTTTTTAACATTTTATTATTATTTTGTCATTATGAGCTCCATATTCATCACCTTCTTATTCGTTAAAATAACAACAAATCAATAAAAGGAAGTGGTGCGTACCTCGAAGATGGTAAACTAAAACAGATAACGTTCAAGGGATTCATGGGTCAGATTCATTAGTATACGTGTGTATAAAACAAACAATATTGATGTTAATAAATAAAAGATCATGAGACTCTGTTGAGATGTCAACCAAGAATTTTTTTCTGTTAACTAATAGCTAGGCCTCATCCTAGCAACAACTATCGAATAAGAAACAACCATTGACCAGCTCCCACCATCACCAGCTCTCCTTGTAATAAGTGGCCCCTATGAAAATAATTCTCTAAAGACACTCGTGGACCTGTCCTTTGAAAGCTTTCTAACAAACAGAACCCGATAACGGGAAATAAAATTTTTAATTTCAAATCATTATTGATAAATTCTACAATACCACTAGGGTTGTTAATGGAACATAATGGGTTGGGTTGGGTTATATTATTGTGGAGCAAGGTTTAACCCAACCCAACCCGGGTTAAATGTACTGGTTAATACTCCATGGGTTGCTCCGGGTTGCTCCATGGAGTAATAATTATTATAATTCTCATTTAAAAAAAAATTATGCCGATTTTTAAATTATAATAATTTTAAAACTTGCATAATAATATCAAATATAATTATATATTTTGGTTCCAAATTTAATTTCCTTTTTATTAAATGTTTAAAAATTGAATAATAATTGTAAAAGAATAAAATTTTACTTGAATTAAATTTTCAAAAAAAAAAACAGTTTTACCGCCACCACCCCCTACGAAAAATAGGTCTTTATATAATTTTTTATCACGTAAATAATCGTAAACACTCCGCGCAAATAATTATAAACAAAAATAAACATTCGTTATTATATTATAAATTCGATCACGTAGATCCATTATTAAATATAGATTTACGTACTACAAATGATTAGATTAGATATTAGAAATATTTAATTGATTAATAATCAAATTACTAAAATAATTTGGAGCAGCCCGGGTTGATGCCAGAACATTATGCTCCATTTAACAACCCTAAATACCACGCATGTGGTTGGTACACGCCAATATCAACATGTTACTTTGTAATTCTTTGCCATTCGATGAAACATGCAATGATCCAATTGTCTCCATCTCGGAAGACACCCTAAATTATGAAAATCATTCCATCAAGCAATTCAAAAATTCCACAAATTTGCCCAAAAAAACTTACCTTCAAGAGGATGCTCAAGTCATGTTCCTAAACAATAATAGTCGCGGGACATTGCAGATCAAGATTCAATATAAACGTTACACAAATAAAATTATTATCGTCCACTTCAAAAAAAAAATCTCCGTTTTTCATATAGCAAGCGATTCTCAACCATAATAAAATTTTTAGAGCCAGGCTGGAACTTTTAACACCAGTTAAAAGAAAAAGCTAGCTTAAATATTAGTTGTTATACGCTAGGTCGGAAACGTTTCTTTTCTTCACACTTATTTTAAGATTTTCTTCCAACTAGTATGCAGACTAAAACAAATTCAGCGGCAACAATCGTGCCAAAGTGTTTCCTACAAAGTCACTTGTACACTGCCAAATCTTCAAATCCCAAAATAGTAATGATGCTCTTTTGTGTGACGGGATTATAACATCACATGACTCAATAATTTTATCGTTATTATTATGAACTTGTTATAAATAAATTCTATTAATAATTTCTCACTAGAAAATCATCTTCAAACCTAGCAATTCCATTTATTTGAGATCAGTCTGAACCGGTTCCAAATTCCTATAATCTCAAGATTCTGGATTCTCAAGAAATTTTGTTACTTGTATCCAATAAGTAACTCATATTAAATAATTACTGTAAACAAATTTAATTAGTAGCTTGCAAGGAAAAAATCAGTTTTAGAATTAGCAATTTACTTGGGACCGATTTGAAATGGCCAATTCCCAATTTCCTTTTGTTGTAACAATATGAAATTGGTCTGGCTTGAATTCTTGATCAGTTTTTTTTTTGATAAAATCATTTCCGATTTATTTATTAATCCATGATCCATAAAATTATACAAATGATTTGTAATAATTTTTATAAATTGTAAAAGATCCTCGAACCAATAAAATTTGATTTTTGTGTGATTAAAGGGTCATAAAATAAATTGTTTTGCAAAAAAAAAAAAAATCGCGTCTGCCCCAAAAAAATCTTTGTGAACACCAAGTGCCAATAATAATATTATTAATGTATAATTTTTTTTTAACGCATACTTTTTTTTAAAAAAGTACAGCAAGATCCAAATGAGAGGAGCGAGTAAATGTTATTTATTAAAAAGAATGGTGGCTATCGCTACTTGTTGTCACTAAAAAGAATGGTGATTATCGCCACTTTTATGTTATATTAATATGAAAATAAATACTGGCAAACGAAGATAAACGGAGGCAGTTGCTGGGTAAATGTTATTCGTTAAAAAGAATAGCGGTTATCGACACTTGCCGTCACTCTAGTACCAAAGTATTTTAAAAAAATTTTATTATTATTATATAATCATTTATTTTAATACATGATTATTATTTATCATCTTATATATATATATATATATATATATAATAATTCATAGGATTATTCTCATGAACCAATGAGAATTTTTACAAAATGCTGATGATGCAAAAGCAACCAAATTTAAAATCATAATCGATGAAGGAAATTCAAATCCAACCAATGGGTTAATAAATGAAAAAACGGAAGCACATTACAAGGTCATTCATTCCATCTGTATTTACAATTAATAAAATGTTTGAAGAAAAAGATTTGATTCTTTATTAAATGCACAGTGTGTGTTAAGAAAAAAATAGCGGTGACAAAAAAATTACACAACGTAATCAAATAAATTTAGGTTCGTTTGAAAGTTAAAAAAATAGACATGAAATGCTATTACTATTGCCAATTTTCTGTAAAGTTAATTCACATCTTTTTGTCTCTGAAATTTTAACATGGAATTTTTTAATAATAGATCTGTCGCGAAAATGTACATAATAATCATACAAATAATTATACCAGTTTGTAGCGAAGTTCCGGGGATTATGTATATAAGCCTTCATACTTTCAGATGTTCTAGAATTTTGTTAATTGGAAATAAAAGAATTTGAACATTTTAAAAAAATCAATTCAATGTGTAAATTCTTACATGTTATAATCTTCCGATTCTCTGATATAATTTTTTATTGCAAATTTCGGCTACTTTTCCATTAAAAACAATATTTTACAAAATACCATTTTT